AAGAGGGCTTCCAAGAAGAGAAAGCAAATTCTGGAGCCGCTGAGCCACGGTAAACCACTCTGCGTGTGTCCTGTGTGTTTATTTATATTTATTATCATGCTTGTTTACGCAGGATGAGCCTCACTACGTCAAGACTTTTTTTCAGGAGGGTCCTGTCAAGTTTTCTCGCAGTTGGTAACAAAATTGCTACTGTTTGTGATCCAAATTGAGCGATTTGCATTGCGTGTGTGGGTTCAGTTACAGGGAAAAAGCTGCAGAATCCTCCCAGAACAGGGCTCAGCACAATCCACACAGATAATGTGGCCCAACGTGGAAATCAAACCTAGGTCCCTTTTGCTGCGAGGCACAGGTGCTCCAGCCTTGCTGTATTTCCAAAATACACAGACACTGCAAACCCCACGTGTACATTCCGCTATACTGTGGATTTATTTTCCATAATTGGTTTCTGGGTGAGACCACATCACGATGCGTCCATATTTCAAAATTTAATCCTCCATCCACCGTGATATTTTGGCAGACTGATGCCTGTTTCCAGACCAGCTGCCAAGTTGCCTTGGAATGCACAGAGACAGCTACCATTGGGAGGGGTGTCCAATTTCAAACGCGTTGAGATGAGAGATGCGAGTGGCTCATCGCGCTCATTGCACTCTGAGATGCCTTTGACATCAAGGGAGGTGGATGTCGACCTAAAATCACTGTCGGATATTTTATCGAAATCGTGGATGGGTTGAAGCAGCCAAAGGGTCGCACACTCATCGCTCACCGCTTACAGTTCAGACCTTGCTTCCCGCCCTGGCTATTACTGCCGCTGCATTAACCACAAAGATACACACCCATTCCGTCACAGCGGATGTTCAGGATCTCCACCGATGTCATTTTAAATGCGTAGGCCATTATGTATGTCGAATAAATGGGGAGAATGACACATAAAATATCACTAAAAATGAATCAGCTAAATTTACACAGCAACGCCACCCACTACTGTGAAACTACAACAGTCTGTGTGAGACACAGCTGCACCTATCTCAAGGATAGCCTTGCCCCATGAGAATGACAGCACCAATACTAAGCACACTCACTGGCCATGTCGTTACTGCTGTTTATATTAAGCTCGAATGAATCCACCACACATTCCACCCACGGATGGGGAGATGGCGATGTCTGCCGTAGCAGGAAGGTGAAACGGTGTCGTGTTTGTCTCTTCACTGATCTAAGCCAGCGCAGCCCTCCTCCTCACTCGTCCAGGCATTTGAATTGAAGTCAGAGGTTGTGGAGGAGTCGAAAGAAGAGGTGGAGGAGATGATGGAGGATGAGGTAGAGACGGAGGAGGAGAAATCGGAGGAAGAGAAGGCAAAGGAGGACGAGATTGTGATGGTGACAATGGAGGAGAACACGGAGGGAGAGGATAAAGACAATACGGAGACGGAAGGCAAGGAGACAACAAAGGATGAACAGATGGTCGTGGTGGAGGAGATGGAGACGACGGACAAAGCGGAAACAATGGTGGTGGTGGTGGAGGAAGAGAAGAGGGTGGAGGAGATGGTGGTGCTGGAGGGTGAGGAAAAGATGAAGGAGGAAGAGATGGTGCTAGTGGAGGAGCAGAAGGTGGAGAAGACAGAGGTGGCGCAGGAAGAGGATGAGGAGGTAGAGGAGAAGACGGTGGTGGAGGATGAAGAAGAGGGGATGGAGGAGGATGAGACAGAGGAGGAGAAGATGGAGGAGGTGCAGGTGGAGATGCACGAAAACAAGAGGAAGCGAGGGGGCCTCGCTCGCGTGACGACAGCGTTCACCTCACTCCTCCGCCATGTGCTGCTTTGTGGTGGCAGGTCCACCGCCCAGTAGGCGTGGTGGCGGTGGTAGTGGATCGGTGCCAACAATGACCGCTATCACCATACGACCCACCCACCCCGTGACACACGCCACACACACACCGCACGGTTCCCCAGAGAGACTGTGCCACTGTGACCACAGCTGGGGAATGAAGATGAGCAGAAGATGCCAGGACTACAGGGGAGAATGACTGCTACCAGGACACCTCACATCACACATACACACAGGACTATTCCATAAGCATAGCCGGCCCCACACTGGGCCCCTTCCATGCTGGTTTTCATCCAGGCAGTCCTCATGGGATGACCTTGCCATGGTTTCCAGGACGTGGAAGGGGCAGCTGACCCAGTGTGAGAGAGCTGGAGGGGTCTGGTGCAGACAATGAACAAAACCTGCACGTGCCAAGTCTCAAGGCCACCCTGTTAAGAATTAGGATCAATATATTTGTTGTTGGTGTTACTATAAACTTTGTGAAATCAACCCATGAGGACACAACGTAACGTTGCATTGCTTGCGAGTGCTGCCTGGGTTGGTTAAATGTGCCTTGGCTCGTGTGTGCGCTGTCCCGGCTATGTTTGTGGCGGTACAAGGACAAATAGATAATAAGAGACGTTTTACGAAATGGTTCTTCTTCAGAGTACATACAAGCGGTGGTGGGAAAACATTCAGGTGATTCGCCTTCTTCCCCACAAATAATCCCATTCTCTGCCCCACAGCTACACTACCCCACCACTCCATTGGCCCTCTGCCCACTGCCCCTCTGCTCCACCATCTGCCACAGCAGTTGAAACAAATGATTGAGTATCTTAAATCCACCTGCCTCTGTGCACCAACCAGTGAAAATGGGTGCGCAACAATCAAGCGGCAAGTTGCGTTTGGTGGATTAAAGAGAAAGCAAATGCAGGACTGTGCCACTGCTCCACAATCCCAATTGCTTTGGCAAAATATTCAAAGAATGCTGCTGCTCACTAAACAGGTTGCTGCTTATGTCTTTAACGTGGGGGGTGTTTAGAGGCGGCCCATGGACCTAGTGGTCAAAGCACTGAATTGGCACAACGGAGTACCTGGGTTTGAATCCAGGCAGCAGCCTGTGATCAAAGCAGATTCTCAAGTCTAGCGAGTTAATGGTCTCAGCCCGGTCATCATTCACTGCACAACACAAACTATCACATGGCTGCAATGTGGTTCTCCATGTACTTAGGATAAATTCCAGCTGTAAGAAGTAACAACATTGTTGTGACCAACGTTGCTCTTAAATAAAGAACAGGTGGGAAAGTCCTGCCCTTTACGATGTGGACCAGACAGCACTTGAAGGGTACTCAGAAATAGCTACGTGATATTAGTTTCAGTGTGCCATTCTCTAGCAAAAGGCTTGCATCATCATCACCACCCATCAACATTGCCAGCCATCTAACACACACGCACACTCACCATGATACTTACACACCCACACAACAACAACCGCCATTCGCCACTAAGTGGCGGTGACGTCACCACGACGCTTGTGCCAGGCTATGTGCACCCTGAGGCCACGTGAAGTGTCGAACGCCCGCTGGCAGGAGATCACGGGGCAGACCCAGGTGCCACGGGTCGACTGACTGAGATGACTGGCTGATGCACCACCTGTGCCCCCAACTGTGCCAACCTGCTGTGCTTTAGCCACCCGGCGCTCCGCTCGTTGTTGTGAGCGTCGCTCCTCCGCCCTCCGTTGTTGTTGGAGGGCGACTACCTCCAACTGCCCAGTAGCATCCTTCACGAGCCTCCTCCACAGAGGCCGATCTTGACACCGCTGCTACCAGTCATCGGCAAGTCCACTCAGCTCCACGTCCTCCTGTACCACATCACTCCATCTCTTCTCTAGCCCGTGCCGCGCCCCCTTTGCCCCCTCAATCCGGCCGAACAAAAGCTGTTTCGGCATGCGGTGGCTGGGCATGCGGGCTACATGACCCAGCCATCGCAGCCTTGCCCGCCGGAGGAGCTCACCGATGGGGGACCTTGCCCAGATCTTTCAAGGATTTGTGAGCTCCTCACACAATCCAGTCTGGTTAAACCCAGGATGGATCGTAGGCAGGCCAGCCTAAATGTTTCTAACCGGCGAAGATGTTCCATTAGGGGGGTCCACGTTTCGCAAGCGTAGAGAAGGGAGGGAATGACCGTGGCCGAGAAGACCTGAAGCTTAGTGCGGAGCGACAGACCAGGTAGCTTCCACACAGCGTTACACAACCGATGAAAAGATATTGCCGCTCGACTGATTCGGAGTGAGACCTCTGCTGTTAAACTGGAGCCAGTCATAAGCACACTGCCCAGGTATGGGAAACTCTCCACTCTCTCCACAACTGCCCCATCACCGATCATGAGTTGTGGGGGTGGAGTGTCCGATGGTACAAAATACCCAGGCAGGTACTTAGTTTTGGTGGGGCTGATGGTAAGGCCCCACCTCTTAGTGGCACGCTCCAGTCTCAGCAGCAGCGTCTCCAACTCCTCCTCTGACTGAGCAGCTATTACCAAATCATCAGCATACATAACGTAGTTGAGCAATAGGGAGCCATCCCTTGACCGCACCCGGGCATCGATCAGCCTCCCATTATATCTGTACCATATGGAGATTCCCCCGGTACAGCTATTGAAGGCTTCACGAACTACGTGGTCAAAATAGATGTTAAATAATGTGGGAGCCAGAGGACATCCCTGTCGCACCCCAAGGTGTACAGGGAATGGCTCTGACTCCCGGCCACGTAGTTTTACCCGGGCCCGCTCACCATCATGAAGGTCCTTAATAATCGTGAGCAGAGGGTCAGGTACTCCAAAAGCACGAAGAACGACCCAGAGCCCAGGCCTACTGATGGTATCATAGGCCTTGACCAGGTCACTCACCATGATACTCACACACCTACACACTCACCATGATACTCACATACCCTCACACTCACCATGATACTCACACACTCACACACTCACCCTCAAAAACACACCCCTACCATCCTACTCTAACACACGTCATGAAAGTCACACATGCACCATTACTCACAAGCCTACAAACTCACGATGACAACAGCCGTAATTCGCCACTACATGACGGTGATGTCATCCCAACAACCCAGGTGCCATGGGATGATTGCTGTGCCAGGCTAGGTGCAGGAGGAGGTCACGGAACAGAGCCAGGTGCCATGGGTTGACTGCTGTGCCAGGCTAGGTGCAAGAGGAGGTCATGGGACAGATACTGATGCTATGGGTTGACTGCTGTGTGACAATCCCACTTGGGCGACAGCCAAGGCCAAAGGTCGGAGTACAGCCAGTAAACTCCTGAACCTGCACCACCTAGAGAGAAGGGGACATGGAGACATGGGGAGAGAGAGGAGGAAGGGAGACACGGGGAGAGAGAGGATGGAGACACGGGGAGATGGAGGAGGAAGGGAGACACGGGGAGAGAGAGGATGGAGACACAGGGAGAGAGAGGAGGGAGACACGGGGAGAAAGAGGGAGACACGGGGGGAGTGAAACAAAGGAGGCACCTGTGGGCCAGGTCCCTCCTTTGTTTCCCCCCCCCACCACCGCCACTGCTGATGTGTCCACACCACGCTTGGTTCACACCTTCTTCTGGCTGAGTCGATGTAGAGGAGGCCCAGCCAGCGAGCCGCCACTTCAGAAGCTCGTGAGCCACCGACGGTGACCGTGAGAGGGATTCCAAATCAGCCTCTCGCCACCCACAATCCACAGCACCGCCTCCACTCGCCCCGGCCTCAGCGGAAGTAGCTGCGGGGGAAGGCGAGGGGGCGAGGGGGGTGTGGGGGCTGAGGGGGACATGGGGGGTGGCGCAGGGGGAGTTATGGGGTTGAGGCGTTTTGCATAATAAAGGTTTATTTGGGTTAGTCTCCAACACACCGATGTGCCAAAGTAGAAACTAATTGGCACTTTTGTTCACGTGACAAACTTTATTAATTGGCCGTGTCGGGTGGTGACGGGTTTTAAGACATTTATATTTACACGATCTTACCGCATAAAAAAGCGTTTATTATGGGATTGGAGAGTTGGGGGTTTAGAGGGTTACGGGTTTAGTGGTATAAGGGTTTGAGGGTTAGGGGGTGTTTAGGGTTTGGGTTGTAGGGGTATAGGGGTTTAAACGGTGAGGGGATTAGAGGGTTAGGTGTTGAGGGTTTGGGGTTAGTTAGATGTTGAGAGGGTTGGGGTTTAGATGGGTTGGGACTTAGGTTAGGGATTTAGGGTTGTAGAATGTTAAGGTTTCGAGGTTCACAAGGTTAAGGGTTCTGAAGTTTACGCTTTAGAAAGATATGGGTTTAGAGGGTCAGGGTTTTAGAGGGTTTGGTTTTTAAGGGTTTAGAAAGTTAGGGGTTTAGAAAGTTAGGGGCTCAAAGAGTTAGGGGTTTGGGTTCAGAGGGTTAGGGGGTTAGAGGGTGAGGGGTTTAGAGGGTTAGGGTTTTAAAGGTAAAGAGGTTTAGAGCGTTAGCGGTTTAGAGAATTTGTTTTTTAAGGGTTTAGAACGTTAGGGGTTCAAAGGGTTAGGGGGTTGGATTTAGAGGCATAGGGGTTTAGATGGTGAGGAGTTTAGAGGGTGAGGGGTTTAAGGGTTAAGGGGCTTAGAAAGTTAGGGTGTGAAGGGTGAAGGGGATTAGAGGGTTATGGTTTTCAGAGTATAGGGGTTTAGAGGATTAGAGGTTTATAGGGTTAGGGGTATAGAGGCTTAGGTGTTTATAGGGTTAGGGTTTTAGGAATCTATGGGTCTGTGATTAACACGAACCCTATGGGAGACCCAATGATTAACACTGAACCCTATGTGAGCCCCAGTGATTAACACTGAACCCTATGGGAGCCCCAGTGATTAACAATGAACCCTATGGGAGATCCAGTGATTAACACTCAACCCTATGGGAGACCCAGTGATTAATACTGAACCCTATGGGAGACCCAGTGACTAACACTAAACCCTATGGGAGACAAAGTGAGTAACACTGAATCCTATGGGAGCCCCAGTGATTAACACTGAATCCTATGGGAGCCCCAGTGATTAATACTGAACCCTATGGGAGACCCAGTGATTAACATTGAACCCTATTGGAGACCCCGTGATTAACACTCAACCCTATGGGAGACCCAGTGAGTAACACTGAATTATTTTAGATACCCAGTGATTAACACACGAACCCTATTGGATTCCCAGTGAGTAACACTGAATCCTATGGGAGCCCCAGTGAGTAACACTGAACTCTATGGGAGACCCATTGATTAACACTCAATCCTATGGGTGACCCAGTGAGCAACACTGAACCCTATGAGAGATCCAGTGATTAACACTTATCCCTATTGGAGCCCCAATGAGTAACACTGAACTCTATGCAACTCTCAGTGATTAACACTGAACTTTATGGGAGACCCAATGATTAACACGAACCCTATGGGAGACCCAATGATTAACACTGAACCCTATGTGAGCCCTAGTGATTAACACCACGAACCCTATGGGAGCCCCAGTGATTAACACTGAACCCTATGGGAGACCCAGTGATTAATACCAAAACCTATGGGAGACCCAGTGATTAATACTGAACCCTATGGGAGACCCAGTGATTAACACTGAACCCTATGGGAGACCCAGTGAGTAACACTCAACCCTATGGGAGACTCAGTGATTAATACTGAACCCTATGGGAGACCCAGTGAGTAACACTCAACCCTATGGTAGACCCAGTGATTAATACTGAACCTTATGGGAGACCCAGTAATTAACACTGAACCCTATGGGAGACCCAGTGAGTAACACTGAACCCTATGGGAGACCCAGTGATTAACACTTCATCCTATTGGAGACCCAATGAGCAACACTGAACTCTATGGAAGCCCCAGTGATTAACACTGAACTTTATGGGAGACCCAATGATTAACACCGAACTCTATGGAAGCCCCAGTGAGTAACACTGAACTCTAAAGCCACCCACTCCCGAGTGTGCTGATTCAGTCTTCATAGGTGCTCGCTAACAGCACATTCCCCAACAGTCTCTTCAGGCTAAAAGGGAATCTCAAACGGGGAATGTATTTGACTTTGTGTGAGAGCGAGTGAGTCAGAGTAAATTTGTGTGAGGGTGAGTTTGTGAGAGTGAGTGAGCTTGTGGGTGTGAGTGAGCTTGTGAGAGTGAGTGAGTTTGTGAGAGTGAGTGAGGTTGTGAGAGTGAGTTTGTGAGAGCGAGTGAGTTTGTGAGAGCGAGTGAGGTTGTGAGAGTGAGTTTGTGAGAGCGAGTGAGTTTGTGAGAGCGAGTGAGCTTGTGAGAGTGAGGGAGTTTGTGAGTGTGAGTGAGCATGTGGGAGTGAGTGAGTTTGTGAGAGTGAGTTTGTGAGAGTGAGTGAGCTTGTGAGTGTGAGTGAGCATGTGGGAGTGAGTTTGTGAGAGTGTGTCAGCTTGTGAGAGTGAGGGAGACTATGAGAGTGAGCGAGTTTGTGAGAGAGAGTGAGCTTGTGAGAGTGAGTGAGCTTATGAGAGTAAGTGAGCTTGTGAGAGTAAGTGAGCTTGTGAGAGTGAGTGAGTTTGTGAGAGCGAGTGAGTGAGTTTGTGACAGTGAGTGAGTTTGTGACAGTGAGTGAGCTTTTGGGAGTGAGTGAGCTTGTGAGAGTGAGTGAGTTTGTGAGAGTGAGTGAGTTTGTGAGAGTGAGTGAGTTTGTGAGAGAGAGTGAATTGGTGAGTGTGAGTGAGCTTGTGAGAGTGAGTGAGTTTGTGAGTGTGAGTGAGCATGTGGGAGTGAGTGAGTTTGTGAGAGAGAGTGAGTTTGTGAGAGTAAGTGAGCTTGTGAGAGTAAATGAGCTTGTGAGAGTGAGTTTGTGAGAGCGAGTGAGTGAGTTTGTGACAGTGAGTGAGTTTGTGACAGTGAGTGAGCTTTTGGGAGTGAGTGAGCTTGTGAGAGTGAGTGAGTTTGTGAGAGTGAGTGAGTTTGTGAGAGTGAGTGAGTTTGTGAGAGAGAGTGAGTTGGTGAGTGTGAGTGAGCTTGTGAGAGTGAGTGAGTTTGTGAGTGTGAGTGAGCATGTGGGAGTGAGTGAGTTTGTGAGAGAGAGTGAGTTTGTGAGAGAGAGTGAGCTTGTGAGAGTGAGTGTGTAGTATAGCGGTTAGTGTGTTGCGCTACGAACTTGGCGACCCAGGTTTGATTCCCTCTAATGGTCAACACTGGTGACGATTATCTGAACCAGGCATCCCGTAGGTCAACACAGCCTCAAATGAGTGTCTGGTGAGGTGTGTGCACCCCACCAGGCACTCATTTGAGGCTGTGTTGACCTACAGCCAACTTCGTCTCCCTAGTGGAGATGTGCACACACCTCACCACTAGGGAGACGAAGATGGCCGTGCGTGGTGCTGGCCACCCACCCCCTCGTGTTCCATGCTGGCTTTCATAGGTGCTTGCTAACAGCATTTGCCCCAACGGTCTGTTATGGCTATACGGGGGATCTTTATCATTGTTCCGTGGTTCTTTCTGTTTGTGGGTGTTTTTGTGTGTGCGTTTGTGGGTGGGTGAATTATTGAGTAGATGAGTGGGTGACCAAGTGAGAATTGGTGGATGAGAGAGTCTGTGAGTGAGTGCATCTGTGAGTGAGCGGTTGAGCGAGTGGATGAGTGAGTAGGTGAGTGAGTAGGTTAGGGAGTGAGTTAGTGAGTGTGTACATTTGTGTGTGAGTGGGTGAGTAGGTGAGAGAGTGGATGATTTGATAAATGAGTGGGTGGGTGAGTGCATTTCTGAGTGAGTTAGTGAGTGGGTCAGTGAGTGGCTAATTGAGTGGGTGAGTGAGTTTCTGAGTGATTGGGTGGATGGGTGAGCAGGTAAGTGAGTGGATACGTGAATGAATAAGTTAATCATTGGCGAAGTTGCTGAATGAGGAAGTGACGGAAGGAATAAATGGGAAAATATGGGTGAGTGAGTGAGTGACTAATTGAGCAAGTACATAAGCGAGTTTGTGAGTGTGTGAGTAAGTGAATAAGCAGGTTATTGATTGAGTGGATGAGTGAGTGGGTGAGTGACTGATGGAGTGAGTGAGTAAGTGATGAAATTATTGGGAGGGTGAGTGGGTGATTGATATTCTGAGTTCGTGATTAAGGGAATGGGTGCTTGAATGAGTGGATAGGTAAGTGGGTGAGTGAGTGTGTGGGTGCGTGATTGAGTATGTGAGCTGTTGATCGATTGTGTGGGTGAGTAGGTGAGTGAGTTCATGAATGAGTGACTGATAGACTGGGCGAGCAAGTGAGTGAGTGGGTGAGAGAGAGTCTCCAAGTGAGTGGGTGAGTGGGTTGTTGAATGAGTGAGTGGGTGGTTGAGTGAGTGGATGAGCAATTGGATGAATGAATGAATGGGTGAAATTATTGAGTGGGCGAGTTAATGGTTGCGAGTGAGTCAGTGGGTGGATGAATGAGTTTCGGAGTGAGTGGATGAGTGAGCGAGTCTGTGAGTGAGTTGGTCAGTGAGTGGCTGAGCGAGTGGATGAGTAAGTAGGTCAGTGAGTGGGTGCGGATGAGCGAGGTAGTTTTTAAGTAAGTGGGTCGGTGGTTGAGTGAGTTTCTGAATAAGTTAGTGGGTGAGAGCTTTTGAGTGAGTCTGTGAGCGATTGAGTCTGTGAGCGAGTGAGTCTATGAGCGAGTCTATCAGAGAGGGAGTCTGTGAGCGAGTAAGTAAGTCGGCGAACCTGTGCGCGCATGGGTAAGTGGGCGAGTAAGGGCATGAGTGAGTGGGTAATGATTTTGTGAGTCAGTTTCGGAGCGTGTGAGTGGGTGAGTTTATGAGTGATTCTGTGAGTGGATGCACGAGTGGGTGAGCAAGTGGGTGGGTAAATGGGTGAGAGAGTTCTTGAGTTAGTGCCTGAGTGAGTAGGTGAGAGATTGGGTGAGCGAGTAAGCCTGTGAGTCGTTGAGTGGGTGGGTGCACGAGTGGGTGAGTAAGTGGATTAGTCTGTGTGAGTCTATGGGTCTTTGTGTAAGTATATTGTCTATGTTTCAACGGGTCTTTGTTTGAGCTAATTGGTTTCTGTGTGAGTCAATGAGTCTATGTAAATCTATGGATCTATGTGTGAGTTTTGGGTCTCTGTGCGAGTCTATGGGTCTGTGTGAGTCTATGGATCTATGTGCGAGTCTTTGGGTCTCTGTGTGGTGCACATAGCCTGGCATGTGAGTAGGGGGTACCGTAACCCTGTGTGTATGTGGGTGGGGTACCGTAACCCTGTGTGTATGTGGGCGGGGCACCGTAACCCTGTGTGAGGGGATCTTCCCCCCCCCCCCCACCCGGGGCAGAGGGAGGATCTTGAAGGTGGACCCGGAAGCGCTCGGCTTGGGAGACAAACCTTCCTCTTCCTGCTTCGTGTTGTTGTGCTGGGGGGTAGGGGGTGTGGAGAGGGAGGAAGGGAGGAGGAAGAGAGGAAACTAAACTATTTATATTTTACCCGGTGAGGCCCACCGAGCTACACAGCTCTTCTTCAGAAGAGAAAAGGCCAAAAATTATCAGTCAACGAAGTGGCTTATCATTACGTCGACATTTATAGAAACCAAACACTCTGAACGCGACCACAGGGAGAGACACGCAAACTCAAAATATCTAGCAGGTGTGAGGGTAGGGATCGAACCCACGACCTCCTGTATTACAGGCAAGGTAGTTACGGGAGAAAGGAGAGGGATAGAGAGGCAGGGAAAGAGGGAGGTAGAGGGGGTGGGGGAGAGTGGAGGGAGAGAGGAAGGAAGAGTGGGTAGTGGGTAAAGGGAGGGGGGGGCAAATAAGTCAAACTCACAGTATTGCTTGCACTCACCATGATACAATCACCATCAAACTCACACTGCCACATACCATCACTCACATCCTCACCACGAAACTCACAGACCCACACACACTCACCCTCGTAAACACACCATTACCATCCAACTCACACACACGACATGATAGTCACACACTCATCACAATTACTTACACACAAGCCCACCAACTCACAACGACAATGGCCGCCATTCGCCACTACGTGGCGGTAATGTCATCACAACAAACCAGGTGCCATGGGTTGACTGCTGTGCCATGCTAGATGCAGGAGGACAGGGGACAGACCCAGGTGCCATGGGTTGACTGCTGTACCAGGCTAGGTGCAGGAGGTCACAGGACAGATCCGGGTGCCACAGGTTGACTGCTGTTCCAGGCTAGGCACAAGAGGTCACGGGACAGATCCTGATGCTATGGGTTGACTGCTGTGCGACAAATCCACTCGAGTGACAGCCAAGGTCAAAGGTTAGAGTGCAGCCAGTAAACTCCTGACCCCTAAACCTTGACCACCAAGAAATAAGAGGGGGATGGAGACACGGGGAGAGAGAGGAGGGAGACACGGGGAGAGAGAGCAGAGGTAGGAGGAGTGTGCGTGGAGGAAGCGAGAGCTCCTCTAGAGATGCAGGAGGTAAAGATGGCCCAGAATCAACGACGACTGCAAGGTATGCTGGGAGGCAAGGTCATGTGACCAACGCGGCACAGGGGCGGCAGTGCAGGCTGGAGCCATCGCTGTTGGAGCCGCATGGACAGAGGACCCAGAACGCATCCTTCATCCCAGCACCTGCAGCAACCACAATCACCATCACAACTATAACCAAAACAACCATAAAATAACCACAACTAAAACCACACCTCCAATTAGCACGGTTGGCTGGGTAAGGTGCGATAGAAGTTCAAAATACATACAACTACCAAAACAACCATCATAACCACCTACACCACAACTATGACCATTACAACCACCACCTACACAATTATAACAAATATAACCACAAAGACCACAACCGCACATTTAACCACAACCTACACAACCACAATTATAACCACAACCAAAACCACCACAAGCACCACAACCAGAGCCACAATTACCATAACAATCAATAAAACCACCTACAACACAACTGTAACCTCAACCACCACCACAACCACCATCATAACCATCGCAACCACCACCATAACCAAACAACAAAAATATTAACGCAGATACTACACAACCACTGCATGAAGGGTCTTTATCCCTCTGTGGGTGGGTGGGTGAGTGGCTGAGTGGGTGGGTGAGTGGATGGCTGAGTGAGTGGGTGGGTGAGTGGGTGGCTGAATTGGTGGGTGAGTGAGTGGCTGAGTGAGTGGCTGAGTGAGTGGGTGGCTGAGTGAGTGGCTGAGTGTGAAATGGACTCGAACCTGCACCTCTGCATTGCAAGTCCAGTGAGCTCACGGCCCGCGTGTGGAGGGGTAAAGTGTGGCTACGCCCAGCGTGGAAGAGGAGACCAAATACTCCACATCGCGGCCTCAAGTGGAGGCCATTTCTGCCACGACAACAAATCCGTCCCTCCAGAGATACAAAAAACTAAATTTAACTCATCCCATCAGCCGCAATCTGGCAGTGCCTCTCCTCATCATCATCAGCAGCAGCAGGGCCGTGAACTCAGCAGGCGCCTAGCGCGTGACGGCTGTGGGCCAGGCGCCTCCTCTGCCTCCCCCGCACCACCGCCACTGCTGCTGTGTCCACACCGTGCAAGCTTCTCGCCTTCTTCGGGCTGAGTCGACGTAGAGGTGGCCCAGCCAGCGAGCCGCCGCTTCAGAAGCTCGCGAGCCACCGACGGTGGCCGTGAGCGGGAATCCAAATCGGCCGCTCGCCACCCACAATGCACAGCGCCGCCTCCACTCGCCCCGGCCTCAGCGGAAGAAGCAGCGGGGGGAGGGGCGGGGAGAGGGGGCGGGGTGAGGGGGGTAAAGGGGTGGGGCGAGGGGGTGTGGCCATGGGGGGGAGGAGCTCCGGTGGGGGGAGGGGCTCAGGGCTGTTTACGTCGCAGTGGGCGTGGTCTCATGGTACCGCCCCCTCGTCTCGAGCCACGCGCTTCCCCCTGGCAGTTTGTCCGTTGGAGAGGCGGGGAGAGCATCTGGCGAAGGTGAGGAGCGGTGAGGTGGTGTGAGTCTGTGTGTGTGTGAGTCTGTGTGTGTGAGTCTGTGTGTGTGTGAGTCTGTGTGTGTGTGTGTCTGTGTGTGTGAGTCTGTGTGTGTGAGTCTGTGTGTGTGTGAGTCTGTGTGTGTGTAGTGGTTAACGCGCCGCGCTATGAACCCGGTGACCCCGAGTTGGATTCCCGCTCAAGGCCAACACCGGTGACGATTATGTGAACCGATCCTGGGCCTCCCCTAGGTCGACTCAGCCTCAAATGAGTACCTGGTGTGGTGTGTAAACGTCGCCACTAGGGAGACAAAGGCGGCCGGGCGTTGTGTTGGCCACCCACGCCCTTGTGTGCCGTTCTGGCCTTCATAGGTACTGCTGGCTAACAGCACTTGCCCCAACAGTCTATTTCATCTATAAGGGGGATCTTTATCTTTGTTGCTAGTGGTGTTGTTGGTGGTGTTGATGGTGGTGGTGTTGATGGTGGTTGTGTTGGTGGTGGTGGTGTTGTTGGTGGTGCTGTTGGTGGTGTTGGTAGTCGAGTTGGTGGTGGTGTTGTTGATGGTGGTGTTGTTGGTGTTGATGGTGGTGGTGTTGGTGGTGGGGTTGGTGGTGGAGGTGGTGTTGTTGGTGGTTTTGATGGTGGTGGTGTTGGTGGTGGTGTTGTTGGTGGTGGTTTTGGTGGTCGTGGTGGTGTTCGTGGTGTTGGTGGTATTGATTGTGGTGTTGTTGGTGGTTGTGTTGGTGGTGTTGATGGTGGTGGTGTTGGTGGTTTTGGTGATCGTATTGGTGGTGTTGTTGATGGTGGTGTTGATGGGGGTGGTGTTGATGGAGGTGGTGTTGATTGGGGTGGTGTTGTTGATGGGGGTGGTGTTGGTATTGTTGGTGGTGTAGTGATGTTTTTGGTGATGGTGTTGATGGTGGTAATATTCTTGTTGGTGGTGGTGCTGGTGTTGTTGGTGGTGGTGTTGTTCGTGGTGTTAGTGGTGGTTCCTACGATCCGTCTTGGCTTTAAACAGGCTGGATTGTGTGAGGGGCTCACAAATCCTTGAAAGATCTGGACACTTTCCCACCAGTAAGCTCCTCCGGCAGGCAAGGCTGCGTTGGCTGGGTCTTGTAGCCCGAATATTCAAGCAGTTTTTTTGGCCGCATAAAGGTGGCTAAACGGGCATGACATGGGCTGTCGAAAATATGCACTGATGCTGTCTGGGAGGATGTGGAGCTGAGTGGACTTGCAGAAGAGTGGTATCAGCGGTGTAAATAGCATCCTTCACGAGGAAGCTCGTGAAGGATGCTACTGGGCAGTTGGAGGCAGTCGCCCTCCAACAACAACTGAGGGCAGAGGAGTGACGCTCACAACGAGTGGCGGATAAAATTCAGCAAGTTGGCACAGTTTGGGATACAGCTGGTGTATCTACCAGTCATCTCAGCCAACCTTTGGAACCTGGGTCTATCCCGTGACGTCTTGACAGCCTTTGGCACTTGACGTGGCCTAAAAGTGCACCTGGCCCGGCACAGGCGCCGTGGTGACATTACCACTACTTTGTGGCGAATGTCGGTTGTTGTTATTTTTGTGTTTCGTGTTGTGAGTAAGTGGTGATGATGTGAGTCTGCGTTGATGATGTGGGTTCATGGTGAGGATGTGAGTCCTCGTGTTGAGATCTGGGTGCCGTCACGCCCCCTCGACTATTTGTGATCCTCGCCTTCGTCTCCTGCTCCGCATGCAGAGACCCGGACTGTGCGAGAGACGCTGCGAGTTCTGTGCACCCTGCTCTGCAAGTTGCCACCATGGAGGTACGTGTGGCTCCTCCACTCGTGTGGTGAAGTATGGATGGACGTGTGCTCTCCACTTTGCGTGTGGCTACCTGTCACCTATCCATATACCTGAGTGTGCATCTGCTTGCCTGCCTGAGTGTGTGTGCATCTATCAGAGTATCTCCCCCGAGATCCTGTGTACCTGCCTGTCTACACGTGAATAATCTACAGTACTTTTATCTATCCACTACTGGATGAAGGCCTCCTTCCCTGAGACCCTGCTACCACCCCTCATGATCCTGGGATTGAATAATCCACTAAGCGCCGATTTTGTCGCTCCATCTTTCCGGCAGCGGTCCTCTCAGACATGCTCCGATACTTGGCTGCAGCTCCGTTATTGTTCTTGACCATCGGCCATCGTTGTTCCTCCTGGCCGTGGCATTTCCTGGTCCAGGCCCACTTCTCTTAACAGTTTGAAGGATGCCATTCACCTGCGTGTGTCCTCTAAATCCACACGCGTCTCATTGTAAATGCAAGTGTGACATCAGATATCGGCCAAATATCCCAACGCTGAGAACTGACAACATCTTGGCAGGACCCTCCTGATTGTGTAGCCCAGGATCTCAGAGATCCTGGCTCAGTGCTCGCCTCCTGCGCTTTCCCCAACATCTTGCTAAAGCTTATGTGGTGGACCTTTGTCTTTATGTGCGTGTAGATGAGCCGAGCTGGAGAGGCGAGGAGTAAGGGCGAATCTTGCACCACGTGGAGTGCGCTGTCCCCAGAGGGCACCGCCTCCGCCTGCAGCAAATCACCGCAAGGTAAGAACGGTAATGAGGGATGTAACAGAGGGTCATGGTGAATGCTGTAACATCACGATGGCCATGTTGTATGGTGGATGTCACAGTGGCCATGATGCAGTGGAGATTTCATAGCGGCCATGATGCATGGGTGATATCCAGGTGGCCAAGTTGCATGGAGGACTTCATGCTGGCCGTGTTGCATTGGGGACTTAATGGTAGCCATGTTGCATGGGGGACTGCATCATGGTGGCCATGTTGCATGGGGATAATTATGTGTGCTCTGGCCTCAGCACATCACGCGCTTTCAGATGCGCTTCCGATATTAGGAAGCCACTGTAGCTGTTCACTTTTAAATCATCTAGATTGAAAACTACTTTCTTTAGAACTTCTTTTCATGTGTAGTTTATTGTCCTTCCCCCGAGTATCCATTTGCCACCATTGGCTACGTACGGTGCAAAAGAAGTTCAACATACATACAGACATAACGGTATTGGCCAAAACATCCCAATCCTGAAATATTTTCCTACAAATTGCTCAAATTTGGGATCACACGGCTGTTGTTGTTCTTCTCATGTCTGCAGAAATCATGGCTCTCTTTGGCCCTCACTTGACCAACCGTGAGAAGCTGGAACTCGCAGCCATGCAGGAAGTGTGGTACTTTGCACTCTACAACAAATCTGCTGGATGCAACAATGGTGGATACGACGACTACAAACGAAATTACATTGTGGTGAGGCTCGCCACAAAACACCAACTGTGGGGGCGGTCACAGGGTCCATCAGTAGCGGGGTTTGCGGCTTCTTGTTATTGCACCTGAAGTACCAACCAGGGCTATCACACACACACACCAATGCACTTCAGAATCAGAATTTGTATTTCCGAGTATAGCCCATTGTGCCAAGAAGCTATTTTTTTAAGGGTGACTGAGCCAGCAGACATCAGAATATTCCACAATGACAGATTTTAATAAAACTTAATAATTACAGAAAATATTTTAGAAAATTACATTCTCACTTAAATCTTGACTTAAAGCTTTCATGACTAGCAGGAATTCGTATTATTTGGGTCTTTCAGTAAAGTCACGTATATAGGTTCAAAGAAAATAACAAGAAACAAAAACTATGACGTTTCGATCACAGGAAAAGGGGGGTTAGCTTCCAAAGGCAAACTGTTTATGAGGGTTTAAAATGGGCGTAGCCCAAATGTCAGCAGCCAATATTAATTCAAGTGGTGGGCAGCCAACTCGGTAGGATCTGAAACACGGAATGGACCGATTCCTGGGCCGTGGCTGATCATTGTTTTAATGCGGTGGGCTCACACAAAATGTATTTCTCCAATACGAAGGTATTTTGCAAGCCCACTGGCTATCAACAAAGATTCGTTCATGAAGCCATCCATATACAGTATATAGACACAGACACAATTTCAACCGAGATGGATACAAACTGAGCAATCATTGGAACGATGTTATCAACCAGTTTAAGTCATAACTGGCTATGATCTTCCCATCCTACCACCTTCTGATGTTAGTTGTGCTTAATGCCCATTTCGAACTTGCGCTTTCACAGGATTCACAGGAACACAGCCACTTCGCGCGCCAACCCCTCGGTTGCGGCTCTGCAATCTTCAATTAACATGCTCATCTCTAATTAACATGCTAATCTCTCATTGACATGCTAATTTTCACCTGGCAGCCCTTTGATTTGTTTTAGTTTTTGTTATTTTCTTTGCATCTATCTACGTAACTTTACCAAAAGACCCAAATAATATACATTCTCACTTCTTAAACTTTGTGATTTGAATTATATTCACTTTAAATTATTGTACCTTTTGTGCAGTTCCGGCATGAGCACCTCCACTACCGCTATGAGGTGCTGAAGAAGATTGGAGAAGGAGGTCAAGGCCAGGTGATCCAGTGCCTTGATCACAAAAGGAACAACCTGGTGGCCATTAAGATCCTCGTGTCACCATCGAGGTAAGACTTCAGAGCCGCCCCGTCACGAGCCCGATGTTGTTAAGTTCGTTGCCACGGGCAGCCGTGCGATGCAGTGGTGACACTTGTGCATCAAAGTGAGAAGGGGGGCCTGGGTTCGACTCCTGATTCGGGTGCCCTCCTGTATGGAGTTTGCATGTTCTACCCCTGTTCTGCATCAGTTCCTTCTGGGTTCTCAGATTTTTCCTCCCTAAAGCTTAAAATACACACACAGTGTAAACTAATATTGGGGATAAAACATCCCATTGCTGAAGGATTACCTGCACATTACGGTAATTCCTCATTTAATGCTGTACATACATTCCTGAAAAGTTCCGCGTTCAGCAAAAAAGTATTGAGCGAAAATAATTTACCCATAAATAATGTAATAATAATGTTTGGCGAGATACAATGCACTCATACACCTTGAGATGACAAGACCAATAACTGAGGGTATACCGTCATGTTACTTTATCATTGCGAGCAATGTATCATTGCAGCTCAAGAAAGTAGTTCGTTGTTGTCTACTCACAAATAGTGTTATAACGGGCGGG